GCGGGGGGCAGGGATGTACACCAGCCTCGGGACTCTCCGCCCGGCGTTACAATAACAGGGGCTGCGGAGTGGGGGGGACGCAGCAAAACCTTCCCGGGTGGGGAGGCTGCAAAGCCGCCTGGTGAAGCCGTGCGATCGCATCCTGCTCCCCAGCCCTCGCTAAAACGAGAGGTTGAAAGCAATTACTGGGGCTTAAAGAGGGGAGGGAAAGGAAGGGGGGGGGAAAGCTGAAGGGCGAGCAGAAAGCTGCGTGTGCAGAGAGGAGAACCTGCCACCGGAGCTACCAATTATAAAGTTTTCAGCGCAGAGCTCCCGCTGTGCCAGCGGAGAGCGTCTGCATCACGAGGGGAGACCTGTCAGCTCTAATGAGCACCACGACAGCGCGAAAGCATCCGAGCTGCTCCAAACTTGCAGCAAACTCTGCTCCGGCTCCCGCCTTTAACTCCTTCCTCGCCCGACTCCCAGCTCTGGCGCCCGCCCGGGGAGGGGGCTTGGCTGGCGGGGAGCCCACGGCACGAGGGGATGTGGCCAAGCCCCGAGCTTGAGGGGTCGCGGTGGAAAGGGAAGGTGACGGGAAGAGAGCGGGTGTCAGATCCCATCGCTTCCGCCGGGCTCAAAATCTCTCCTGGTGCCACAGTGAATATTTCACCCTTCTCCGCACTCCGGGGAGTAAACAGGCAGGCGTGCACAATTAAAGCGATGTTGCGTGTCCAGGTGGATGGATGGACGGACAGAGGGATGGGTGGATGGACAGGGAGCTGCTGGTGAGCAGGAGGCAGCAGAGGCCGGAGGAGGGCGAAGGGGACGGCTGGCACCGGGGCGTGGGGACCGGAGTGCCTGGGAAGGAGAGCGAGGGTTGCGGTGGGTGGCCAGGACACGTGAAATGACTCCGTTTCATCACAGATTTTTCATCTGGCAGCACATGTAGAGCCGGAGCAGCAGCAGCCCCTGTCCCCCCGTGCTGGGTGCCACAGCCCCCCGCAGAGCCATGGTCCCGCTGGGGCTCTCGGGAGGGCTCGGTGTCAGGCAGGAGGTGGCTGCTGTGGGGACACAGGCGGATGCTGCCTGCTGGCAGGCAGGGCTCGGGGCAGCTCCTCCAGGCCGTGGGCACCTCCGCGGTGACTGCCGGCACTGCCCGACCATCTCTTCTGCTTCTTGCAGCTGGCAAAGGAGAGCGAGCGTCTCCAAGCAATGATGGCCCATCTTCACATGAGACCTTCAGAGCCAAAGCCTTTCAGCCAGCCTGTAAGCGTGTGTCCTCTCCTGCAGCCACCCCCTCTCCCCCCGTTTCCCCTCGCCGCTGGCTGCCGTCCCCTCCCTGCCCTGCT